TACACCTCAAAATTCTTTATAATTTATAAAAAATGAATTGAAAATCTTTTTCTCAAAAAAAAAAAAGAATTAAAACTCTTAACTATTACATTTGACCCGCTTTTACTCTGTATGATGTTGTGAGATATTTCAAAAATACAAAACAAAAAAGAAATTGATTAAGTTATACTGCTAAACTAAAAAATGTTGAAGAAAACTGAATACAAGTTGAACCAAAATGAGTACACCCAAGCTTACAGTTGCAAAGCATCTATCATATTAATACTAAATTAAAGAAACCAAACTTGTGCCTACAGTATTTCTTATTTTGGCTTTTTAAACTTTGTAAAAAATACTACAGTTCTCCATCAAACCATCTTGTTATTGATTAAATATCACAAAATTTTACAATTTATTTTTGATTTACTAGTTCATCTTTAAACCTTAATTTAAAAAGAGTATTAGAATTATACTAAGGAAAAACATTTTTTCTCTCTGAGATCTTTTAAGTGTACAAGACCATTTTGACCTGCTGATTCCAAATATGTCATTGAAAATTATGTATCACGTCAGGTTTTAAAGTTATATTGACATTTTAACACTTTATGGTCATTAGAAATATAATGTAAATGCATCTAAATTTTAATACAATAACTAAAATTTTAATGTAAATAGAAGAACAAAAGCAACTATACATTTGTACAAATAACTTCAGACAATCGTAACACAGTGCATTTTAAAATCAAAAATAATTAGGTGATGTTGCTTTTCTTTTATAATTAGTGTCACACTCTCGCTATAATAACCAACAAAAATTGCCCATCATGTTGCTGTCATACCTCCCTTGATATCTGTGTTCCATCGTTGCTATTTCTTGGTGAAAACGTTCATTCTTTTCGTCGCTGACTGCACCTAAATTGGGTGGGAAGAAACTGAGATGGCAGTGCAAAAAGTGAATTTTTAAGGACACTTTGCATCCTATATCCTTGTATTTTGTTAGTACCCTTTCAACCAACTTTTCATAGATCTCAGACCTGTGGTTTCCTAAAAAGTTAGAAACCACAGCCAAAAATGCATTCCAGGCTGCCATCTGAGCAGGCTGCAGTTGTGTTTTGAAGGTAAGATTACAAATGACTTCACGAATTTGAGGTCTGGTGAACACACCCACGCTTGTTTTTGCAGGTGTAAGAGTGGTATTGAACTTCTTTTGAAGATAAGCGAAGCCACCCAAATCTTTGCCCAGAGCCTTCACAAAATTTTTGAACAGTCCAAGCTTTATGTGAAAAGAGGGATGTAGTATTTTGGTAGGATTAACAAAACGCTTATGTCGTAGATTGTATCTGGAAAACGCATGATCAGTTCTCGCTGGCCAGTCTTTAACTGAGTGATGATTTTCGTCGTCACGGCTGTTCCATAGGCATAGAAAGCACATATACTTTGTGTATCCTAGCCGCAATCCAAGAAGAAGGGATACTACTTTTAGATCCTCACAGAGGCACCAGTTATGATTTCTATACTTGATAACTTTGAGAAGCAACGTTATCAAGTATAGTACTTCATAGAACCATATGTCCAATCTAATCCGACTGCGTTTACTAATGGAATAGATGGCATCACATTCCTATTGTGTAGAAAAACTGCTTTAAGACTAACTTTAGTTGAGTCTATAAACAGACGCCAGTCTCTTGAAGTATACTCACAGTCCAGTTCTTTCATTAAACTGTTAATGTCAGTACAACAGCAGATACTGTCATTCTTGTGATAAAAATTAGCAAGCTGTACATGCCTATTACGAAAACGTAAAATTATTGTTCCTCTTTGTAACGAGTTCTATTGTTGTAAACGAGATATAACAATACCCCACTCACCACTACTATTTAAATTTTTGAAGACTCTTCCTAAAAAATCTGTATTTTATGTTTATGAATAGGATTCTAGAAAGACTAACTATTTCTATATGAGTCTTCAAAAACTTAAATAGTAGGGGAAAGCGGGGTATTAGTAAACACCTAAGCGGGAATGACATAGTCTTCCAAGGGAAGATCATGAAACTTTTCATCGCGACTTAATACAACAACACTCATTTAAAATTATTATTTAATATGTATATATACAGGGCCGGCGCGAGTAGGGGTCACGTGGGGGGTGGGGGTGGGGTGCCATTACAACTTTTGCCGTCTAAAAAAAAAAAAAAAAAAAAAAAGGGCCTCGTTTTTTAAAATTTACCGACTGCCATAACGACATTTGCCGACTGACTTTACCGACTGACCTATCGACAGGGTCTACATTTGCCGACTAACTAGTCAAAAAGGGTCACATTTGCCGACTTAGGGTCAAATTTGCCGACTAAAAGTCATTGATGGAACACCCCACACCCCCTATCGCGCCGGCCTCATATATATATATATATATATATATATATATATATATATATATATATATATATATATATATATATATATATATATATATACAAGGCCGTTTTTTTCACTTCTTTTTTAGGGAGCATGGGGTAAACGTAGTTTTGTGGAGTTTCTTTTTAATAACATATATACAGATAGATACTTTTTGGAAAGAAGAAAAGCTAATCTTTACTTTTTTTAAATTTTTATGTATGTTTACTAGACTTTTTAACAGATTATTTTGCTCCTGAATATTTGGTTGATGTTTTCACATGAATTTGTAGTCGAAGGCATGTCGTGTCCGCTTTTTTTATTATTCACGCAATTTTTTACATGCATTTTCTATTTATGTGCCAAATTTCAACGAAAAATAATTGGGAGCAGATATGTTACAAGGTCCTTTATTAAATATACTGTTTTTTTTAGGTAGGGTTAGACAAACGTTTTTTGTGGTGTTTATTTTTAGAAACATATCGTCGCCTCAGAGCAAAAATGTTCTATCTACAAGTTTTGAAAAATTGAGATGAACGTGTAGATAAAATACTATCCGTATTAATTTAAAGGAAATATTTTGAAATAAATATAAAGTATTGAATTATTATTAATTTCTGAGAAAATCATTTTATTATAAGTAGCAAAATCTTGATTTGTGATATCTAAAGTTTGTTTTCATTGCCCTGAAAAATGCAAATTTTGTAGATAGAACATTTTTTGCTCTGAGGCGACGATATATATACAAATGTTATATTTGTAAAGAAGAAAGGTTAGACTTGATTTTTAAAGTACTTTTATGTATAATCACTAAACTTTTTTTATGGTTAATTTGGCTGAAAACTTTCAAGAAAATTTCGTTGATGTTCTCACATTAATTTGTTGTCGAAGGAATGTCCTGTCCGCTTTTTTTGTTATTCAGGCAATTTTTTACATGCATTTTCTTTGCACATGCCAAATTTCAGCAAAAAATAATTGGGAGCAGATAGTTTAAGAAGTGTAGGACTTTTGGTACCTAAATTCGGGTTTTTTTGTTTTCGTTTTATCTGTAAGAGAAATACGGGAGAGGATAGGGGGAAGCGGATTGTAAACAAAAAAATTATTACTACATTGTATTATTTTAATTTTTAATAATAACTTTTTTAAAAAACAAAACAATGATAATTTTAAAAAACTTAATCTTTGTTTACATGGCATGTAAACAAAGATTAAGGTTTTTTAAACTATATATACCAATGATGGTATATTAAAAAGATTTGGATTTAAGATTAAACAGTTACTTTGGAATATTTTATTAATTAATAGTATCAGATACCAATGTTGTTAATACACCATATATATAAAAATATACAAACGACATTATTATACTTTAAAGTAAAACATTATTGGCTTAAGCCAATTACGTTTTTGAAAAAATATTTTTATAATAATAAACTTATTTTCGTAAAAATATCAAGATACTTTTACAATAATAAGTTTATTCTTATAAAAATATCTTGTTAGTGTTTTTCTAATATACGGTAATATAATTTGTTTTTTATTATTTTTTCATACTTTTTTTCTGTTAGTAAAGTTGTTGTACGTCAAGCAGAACTGATTAAATAACTGTTATTTTTATTGACTATTGACAATTTCAAGATGTTTTTTTTTGATTATACAATTTTTTTTTATATTTAGTCCAATATGCACAGACTACAGCTGGTAAGTTATTATTGCATAACTTTTATTAACCATTAAAGAAATATAAATAAATAGATGTATTTCCTACTTATTTAATTATTACTTGTCGTGTATGGATTTCCCATTTGCTGCAATTTTTTAATTTTAGTATCTACCTTTTGTGCTACACCTGGTAAATTAAACAACTCATACTTTTTAATGTGTAAACTTTACGATATGTTTAACTTTAATTCCTTAGTAATGTGCTGCAACTAGTAATTTTATTTTAACTATCACATTTTATGTGTATGCATTTCTCGTTATTTAAAATATTGATTTTTTGATACAACTTTGTAATTTTAGTATCTACCTTCTGTGCTACACCTGGTAAAATAAACAACTCTTTTTAATGCGCACAAATTTCTCATTGATTGCAATATTGATTTTTATAATATATTTTTTAACTTTAGTTTTTTCTATGTGTGCTACGCCTGGTAAGTTTCAAAACCTTTTTTTTTTAACATGTGTATGGATTTCTTATCAATTGCATATTCTTTTTTGCAATTGCATTTCTTATCAACTGGTTTTTAGTTAAAACCTTTTTTATATAGTTACATCTATAGTCACGTCAAGTAAGTTTAAAAATTATTACTTTTTAGACTATGAATGCATTTATTACCATTTGCATTTTGTATTTTTTATTAAAACAAATTTTACTTTTAGTTCCATCTGTATTACCTTCAAACGGTAAATTTATGAATCTGGAATGTCTTTGATTGATTATTGAGTTCCTCTTATTCCTATTTAATACTTTTTTCCTACCTTATTTAATACCTTATTTAATACTATCTATTTAATACTTTTGTGTTTTGTTATCTCTCCAAGTGCTATAAAAGGAGAATCAGAAGCTTATACATGTTTTTTTATTAAAAATTTCATCGACTCATTAATCATTCTTTATATTTATTCAGACAAACTGTCTTAGTAAGTATTTATTTTAAGTTTTATAATTTTTAATACATTACAAATACATTAATATTTTATTATTTGTTTACATTAATACATTAATATTTTATTATTTGTTTTTAGAGCTTATATATGAAGCTTATAGGTCATTTCGAACTTAAAATTAAAATCATTTACTAAAAGCCAAGACAGAGTAGTTACTATGTTTCAAAACATTTTTATTTTTTATTTTTTTTATTAGGTTGGTGGGTTAAATATGATCATTTAAATGAGAAAATGTATACAAGTGCAACTTGTGATCTGGTAAAACAATTATGTATTGCGTCTTCTCTTTTTTAATAATTGCATATGAAAATGTTAAAAATGTCATTTCTGTATTTTCTTTTTTATGTTGGTTGAGGGAAAGGGGGAAAACCATCCCTCTCCTCAAATTGTACATCACTAATGTATGTTCTATAGTAAAAAAATATTGCTTTATGTAATACAACAATATTTTCAATACTAATGTATGTTGTATAGTTATAAGGGGGGGAGGTGGTGCATCATACTTCCTTCATTTCAAGTCAATGTGTACATCAATAATATATGTTGAATAGTAATAAAAGATTATTTTTAATTTTAAACAATGCATTTAATTATTGTAATAAAGATAAAATTATTTTTATTTTTTATGAGTCGGAGGGTGGGGCGGGGCAGTGTGACGTACAGCCTCCCCTAAAGTTAGTGTTGTACATCATTAATGTATGTTTTATAGTAAAAAAAAATATTTTTACTTTTTAACAAAATATTTAATTACTGTAAAAAAGATTAAATTATTTATTAGAAAGTATGAGTATTGTATTTAGGGTGTTATAACATCATAACAACATCTATGGCTAACTCTAAGATCACCTTATTTTGTTTGGCAGTGTTTTGGAATCAAGTTATGGCAATATTTTGTGTATAAAATATAACAATTACATTAAAAAAGTGCTTATTTCTGAAAAAACTTGTATTTTCTTAAGGGTTAGATGGTGCTTCATTACCCTCTCTGGCTCCCAAGATACACCCTACATCCAGGAACCAAAAGGAACTTGTAGCCCATTATTGCACCTATCTTGTGATACCAAGATATAGGTATTTGGATTAAAATTGACAAAGTTGTAACAATTTAAGCGAAAAAAAAAATTATTTTGACCACAGTTTCTTCAACAAAATCCATATATCTAAAATTTGCTACTAAAAATGTTATAACTTTTTTTAGAATTGTTCGTTTTTAATAATTTAAAAACGAACAATTCTAAAAAACAATTCTAATTAAAAAGCAACCTTTCATTTTTTTACCAGCAACTTTTCATTCAATCCATCTCCTCAGAGATGGTTCTGGCTTAACTTCATGTGGTGTCTATTGTTAAAAATGATTTAATTTCATTCATTAATGGAATTTAAAAACTAAATCATTCACTAAAAGCCAAGACAAAATTTAATTAAATTTTATATTTCAAAAGTCTTGTTGCTTTTGTGTTGTTTTTTTAGGTTTGATTCGGTAATTTATCCTTTTACATGACAAAATTGATACTCAGACGCACCTTGTAATGTGGTAAAATAGTTTTTTATACGATTTTCTCTCTGTTTAAAAAAGCATTTTAACATTTTTTGTAAAATTCTCATTAAAAAAAAAAATAGGGGCAGATGGGGTGTGTGTGTGTGTGTGTGTGTGTGGCATTCACCCCCTCCCATAAAGATAATTTATACACCACTAGTTACTATTTTTTAAAGTGTTGAAATATATATTTTTATTATTTGTAATAGAGTTAATCATTTTAGTAAAGATTGTAATATTTAAAAGAATGAAATTTTTATAGGGTGTTTAAAACTTTCACCACAACCCAACACCCAACTTTAATATAGACAAAATGGGTACTCAGACGCATCTTGTAATACGGTAAAATAGTTTTTTATGTTTATTTCTCTCTGTTTAAAAAAGCATTTTAACAATTTTTGTAAAATTTTCATATAAAATTTTTTTTTTCAGGGGCGGAAGGGGGGGTGGCATACGCCCTCTTTCATAAAAGCAATTTATACACCAGTAGTTAATATTTTTTTAAGTGTTGAAATATATTTTTTATTTTTTGTAATAGATTTAATCATTTTAGTAATGATTGCAATATTTAAAAGAATAAAAATTTTATAGGGTGTGTTAAACCTTCACCACAACCCAACACCCAACTTTAAGATAGATCTGTAATATTTGCAAGGTGTGGAATAAATAAAAAACAACTTGTTGTATATAAATATTACCAATTTCTTGAAAAAAAAATTTTTGACCATAGTTTTATCAAGAAATCCATATATCGAAAATTTGCTACTAAAAACGCTATAACTTTTTATAGAATAGTCGGACTTTCATAATTTTTTCATCTTTAAAACACTGTATTTGAGGGCTTTCTAATGATATAAAATATTATAGCATTTAACCAATTTAAAAATATCAGTCCGCGTACCTACCTACTTTGTAACTTACAAAGTTAAGTTAAGTTTTCAACTTATATTCATTTATTTCCAAATAGTTATTTAGTCTTAATAACTTTTTGGAAATGAATAAATATAAGTTTAAAACTTAACTTAACTTTGTAAAAATATCTTAGAGCAATAATTCAAAGATAATGTCAATAATTTGTTTTAATAAAAAATAACATTACCATGGAAAATTAAGTTCTAGTTGAAATGTCTAAAAATATTAAAAATTAATATTTTTATACATTTTAACTAGAATTTAATTTTCCATGGCAATGTTATTTTTTATTAAAATAAATTATTGCCATTATCTTTGAATTATTGCTCTAAGATATTTTTAAAAGCTTCAATGTTTTTTTTTTTTTTTGATTGATTTCTACTAAATAACGAAAAGTTAAGTTAATTTTAAACTTATATTCATTTATTTCCAAAAAGTTATTTAAATTGCAAAACTTCAATATTTTTGATTACATTTTACAGTATGATAATAAGAGTGCTCGAAATGAAATTCTATTTAATATTTTAAAAACATGTAAAGAAAAACAATGCCTTTTTAACTATGTTTTTTTCTGAAATAAAATATTTTAAATTACAAATTTTTTTTTTTCTAAATGTAAAATATTTTTACAATTTTTATACAGATAATCTTCTTGGTGGACGCGACCTCTGATTTCGAAAGCTATCAACCGGGGTTAATTTCTGGGTTGCTGGTCATAGGTCAACTCAAATTTTTATCCCTCAGGGTTCGATAAATGAGGACACATTTATTCGCTCACAATGTTGTACCTAACAATAATTTTTTGACAAGGAAGCCCTCAAAATTTTTTGTGCCTATAGTCCGTGTTGTTCTAGAACGGGCCCTGGGTGCAAGCATTCATAAGCGCAATTTGGTTTAAAGTGCTTCAAAGTTGTGCACTTCTTTATAATAAATGAATTTAACAAAAATGAATAAACTGCCGAGCGATGAATCAAGGGGTTTTTGTTTGGCTAAAGACTCTTCCACTTCCACCTCCCCCTCCCCCAAGCTGTCATATGTCCCCAAAATCGTAAAAAACCTATAATTATGCGCAGTCAATTACAAGCGTTATGTTTATGAGCGCATGTTCAAAAAGTTCATAAGAAATTTTAGAGATTTTAAAATGGCTGCAGATCTTAGCTACATAATCTTTTTTATATAGCAATTTTTTTTAAATTTTGGTTTTGTAAAAACTAATGCTGCAACTTATTTATTAAATTCGTGATGGATGGAGTATTTGGACCAAAGGTTGTTTGTAGTATTCAAACCTAGCACCTAATTTTTTCATAAATGAAATAATATCAATAAAACTGTATTAAACCAGCAATATATTTTTCTAAAGTCAAATAGATTGTAATAGTAAAAAGCAAATTTCTTTTAATATAAGTTTTATTTCTTAAACATACTACAAACACTCTAATATGATATATTATATATACTTATAATTTATGAACCAATAATTTTTTATGAGTATCTAATCTAAAAACAAGACATTTAAAATAATTTACTTTCAATAATATCACTCTATTTCTAATATTTTTTTCTCTATCCAAAATTATCAAATTGTATGCTCTTGTTCATCTATTAAATTGATTATTTGTCTGAAATCACACACAAGTTACTCTACCTCTCTCAATCTGTAGTTTCTTTACTTCTATAAAAAACTCTCAATATTATTTTTCATCATTTAGCAACCTTAAATTATATATTCTAAACCATTGTTCAGTTAAGTACAGCATAACAAATCACATCACAAACCAATGCATAAAATCATAAAATAATTTATCATTTTTTATTCATAGAATAATTTATTTTTTATATTTACTTTATATCACTAAACTTTACTACTAAAACTCATCTTTATGTCTTTTTATTTTGGAGAAATGTAATTAATGTTCGTAAAATGTTACGGTCATTGTGGGTTATTATTATTGCTTTTGGTATGATTATATCTAATATAAATATCAATATTATTTTACTTATATTTATATCACTATTACTTATTGTTATTGTTTAATATTAAATTTAATATTTATCAATATAATTATTACTATTATTATTGTTATTATTATATTAATATAAATATAATTGTTAACATTGTTTACCTCGTTAAATTGTTTTAATACTGTTATTGCTATTACTATATAATTGGTTTTTACTTAAGATTAGTATTAGTACTATTTCTAAATATCCATGTGTATGTTGCATACATACACATATATGACATATATGTGTGTGTTTTCTTTTAAGCAATTGCAAGTTTCCAAATACATGCAAAGTAAAGTAAGTAAAGAAAGTAATACTTTTCAATTAGTAAATTTAGTATTATTAATTAATTTTATTTTTTACATTTTTTATCCTTTTTTTAATTGATCTAAGTATAGAATTTTAATTTATTAACCTGGGTATATAAATTTCCAGTTAAGAGAGTTGGTAGAGTTGCAGCATTTTTTAGAGAAATATCAATGTTTCGCTAATGTGATTTTTTTTTTTCATTTGTGATTTCATATATTTATTGGATAAAATGTAATAGGGTTTCAAAATCCTTTTTTGAATGAGAAGGTATTTTCAAAATTGCCATATCCTCTAATGGGTTATTTTATAAGTTTTCTCTGCTTTATAAAGTTGTATGCTTTTTTTATTACTATTTAATTCAGATTGTTGGCGACATAGCTCATGTATTAAAGTCTTCTGTCACAGTTGACTTAGCAAGAATGAAGACATTGATACACTTTTGCATTATGGAATACACAAGTTGGCAGTTCCTCATCCACTGCCACCCAAATACAGGTAAGTATGCATGCATACACAACCCTCAAAATTAGTAAAACTAAAGTGAGTAATGAATTTTCGACCTCAAACTGTGTATGGTTGGCATCAGATTATAATCGGCAAACATTTTTACAAAGATTTTACTATAAAAGGTAAAAACGAGGTCAGCAAAAAATTGCCAACCTCAGGCATTTTTATGTTTTTGCTTTTTTGGGTTATAGTTAGGTACAACAATGTATTGAAATCAATTAATAATTAAATAAGGAATGTGTTTTTAGATACTAAAGTTAAACACTTAATAAAGTAATTGCTGCAATTAATTTCAATGACTAAAACTTGACATATTGTTTTAGAAAAAGCTGCAAGTTTGTATGATTTTTTGAAAACACTTAAAACATTTATTCGTTCACATAATTTTTTGACAAGGAAGCCCTCAAAAATTTTTGTGCCTATAGTCCTATAAATAAGGAATGTGTTTTTAGATACTAAAGTTAAACACTTAATAAAGTAATTGCTGCAATTACTTTCAATGACTAAAACTTGGCATATTGTTTTAGAAAAAGCTGCAAGTTTGTATGATTTTTTGAAAACACTTAAATATATATATATATATATATATATATATATATATATATATATATATATATATATATATATATATATATATATATATATATATATATATATATTAAATATATATATATATTATTATATATATATATATATATATATATATATATATATATATATATATATATATATATATATATATATATATATATATATATATATATATATATATATATATATATATATATATATATATATATATATATATATATATATTAAAATTAAAAAGTTTCCAAATAAAACTCGATAACTGATAAGTGTGATTCTATAGCTATTTGCATTACATGTAGAAAGCAGGTAAGCAGAGGGTGTAGTAAATCTGGTCAGCAGTCAAAAATCAAAGAAATATTACTGGATTTTTATCAGTTGTTATTAATAGAGCTACCAGCTTCACTACCATTATCTCCAATCATTTAACCCAAAAATCCAAAAAAAAAAAAAAAAGAAGAGAATGACTTTAACTCCCGCTTTTTTGAACTTGCAGAACATGAAGGAAATTTAGATAAGATAATCTCTTTCTGTTTATTAAAAAGTTTTTAATAATTTAAAATTTTTTTTGATAAACAGAAAAACTTTTGATTAGGTTTTTTTTTAAATAACAGCTAAAAACTGCATGTTGTGGGTTTATTGATTTAAGTATTATATACTTGTTATTGAATGAAAATATATAAATAAATCATCTTTAGTATTTAAATTCTTTTATATTACAAAACAAAATGGTGAAATAAATCCTGATCAAGTCTCCCTTGTAAAAGTTGCTCAAGAAGTTGATTTTTTCTTTAATCACTCAACGATAGAAAAAAAAAAGACATTTTTAATTATTGGAAACACGAAGAGAAGTTTCCACTTCTAAAAGAGTTAACTCTTAAATTATTAGCACCTCCAGCATACTCTGTATTTTCGCAGCAATAATTTTCAAAATATGGAAATATTTAAAAGAAAAAGCAATCAAGGCTGTTACCTCAACGGGAAGAAATGTTACTATTTATTCATCCTAATGGAAATAAATTTATAAATGAGTGATAAACTGATGTATTAGTAGTGTTTAATTTTAATAGTATATGAATAATAAATTATTATTAATAATAACAACAATATTGAATAGAAACCATTAACATTAGATTATTTAAAAATATAACATTTCTTGGTTTATTAAATCTTTAAGTTTCTAAATAACATTAACTTGAAATATCCGGTTTATCAAAAACCGGATAATGTTATTAT